CTATTGACCCTGCAAAGTCCAACGGCCCTTGGACATCAAGATCTGGACCCAGCAAAGTCCAACGGCTTTTGAACATCAGGGTTTGGACCCAGCAAAGTCCAACGGCCCTTGGACATCAGGGTTTGGACCCAAAAAATCCAACAGCCTTTGGACATCAAGATCTGGACCCAGCAAAGTCCAACGGCCTTTGAACATCAGGGTTTGGACTCAGTAAAGTCCAACAGCCCTTGGACATCAGGATCTGGACCCAGCAAAGTCCAACAGCCCTTGGATATCGTCTTTTAACCTTGCTACTGCCAAGATCCCGCGGCTATTGGCATTTGCCATGGCCCACGCTGCTCGTGCCAAGGGGCAGATGGAGATGCAGCGGGTGAGGAAGCCGCTGCTGGCCCTGTGGCCAGCCCAGGGGAGGCTGTGTGGGCCTGGGCTGTCCCACAGGGAAATTGGGTTCCCCTCGGGAATACCGAGGGATTATCAGCTGGCTGCTCTGGAGCTGGTGGCAGCTGCAGTGGGGACAAGCCTGGGAGGCAGAGGGGGGCTCCTGGCTTGGAAGGGTGATTCCCTCAGGGAGTCCGAGCGTGCTCTTCCCTGTGCTCCTCCAGGAACCTCGAGGGCTCAGGATGAGGCTGCAGTTCACTTCCCAAATCCATTCTTACCAGCGACGCTCCCCGGGAGCCCCGGAGGTGAGTGTGACCGTGCTGAGCCGGCTCGGGACCGCTCCGCAATGGGATTTAGGGAAGGCAAGCGCAGGGAGCCTGGAAGGGAGATGCTGCTGATTTGTGGAATAAAAGGAACCCTGTAACTCACAGAGTAGTTATAAGAGCAGGTATGAATTTATTCAGCGCTGAGGTGCATGGGGGATATCTCCTCCAAAAAGCATGCACGCCTTTTTGATTGGGTTTTCCCTTTTTATCTTTTACGGACCAGGTTTACACGATACACCTAATACATATTCATTTCCTAACCCCGCCTGTCCTCACTTCATATTACAATTAGCTCCATGCCCTTTTTAGTCTTTTTGGCCACTTTTTGGGACTTCAAATCCATTTCTTCCGGCTTAGGGTCCGAGGAATCTCCTTTATCCTGTGGTGCCTTTGTCTTTCTCATCTTGCAGTCTGACTCTTTTTCCTGTTCTTGTGGATCAGGGTGTCAGGGTCTGGGTTTTGTCAGACACCCCTTTTAGTCAAGCATTTTTTCTAGTTCTTAATTTCTTTGTTTCACTGCCCTGCCGTGGGGCTCCTGCCTGCTCAGAGGGGAGGTGGTGTCTCTGTGTTCCCCCAAAGGAGATTGCTCTGTGTCCTAGTTTAGGGCAAATTAGGGAGGAAAACTCCAAATGGGGGTTTCCCCAGGGAAATGCCCCCTCCCCACCAACTGGTCGGGGAAAGGAAAAAAAAAATTCCTTGGAGAGAAGTGGAAAAAGCTGTTTATTTAACAGAAATTGAATAATATTAAATAATAAAACCTCTCACTGTTCGATGGGATGGTAAGTCTAGGAAGAAAAGTCCTTTTCATGTGGTGTAGCTTGACTTGCTCAGGTCCTTATCAGTCCTTTCGGCCGAGGCCCAGGCCCCGGTGGGCCACAGGCGTGAGCTCCCGGGGTTTGGCTGCGTGTTCAGTCCAGAGCAGGCTTGCACAGATCCAAGAAAACTGGAAAAAAACAAAGGTCCAGGGAACTCCTCTGCCTCAGCTAGCTAAAACTAACTAAAAGTCAGAGAGAAGCTCTGTCCCGCTGTCTGTCCGTGCTGCAGACACCACAGTCCAGGAGCGGGGTGTGTGGGAGTGATGTTTTCCTTAACACACTGCGCGCTTCTTCTTTCCCCTCTCTTGCTCTCAAAGCCAGTCCTAAAGGTGCAGAACTTAATATATAACATAAACCAGACGATTTGGGGATACCAGTATCATAAAGTCACCCCAGGACACTCTGTCAGCCCCACAAGGTGTCTGGAGATTGGAGAATGGCAGCAGGAACCTGACCTGGTTTGATTTCACTTAAATTAAAGGGCCCTGTTTAATTTCACTGTAACCCCAGGAATAAACGCACTAAGCACGAGCTACGCTCAGTGTAGAAGCGGATTTTGTACGCTTGGCTGGGTTTTGGTTCTGTTAGGATCAGAAGAGATGCCTCAGGGGTACTTTGGAATAGGAAGAGAATTCCTGACTAACAGCTGGGTGTGGGCTTTCAGGTGCCCTTGGGCAACAGGGACAGCACGGCCAGTCCTTGTATCTGCACCGACAGCTCTGGGAAAATCATCTCAGCCCCGAGATTCACCTATGCACAGCATTCCTTTGGGCTGGTTTGGGAAGCACTGGCAAGGAGACAAAGGGCAACTCAGGTGAGAACTTCTGCCTGCCCTCCCCACTGGCCACGGGCTCAGCTGCTGAGGCCTCGCTCAGCTCGACGCCTTCCCTTTCGCTCAGCCAGCTGAGGCCCTTTCTTTCTCCCCTTGGCACTCGTGGTCCTGCACTGCCTTGCTGGTCTCCCCAGCTCCGTATTCTACATTTTCCCCCTCGATTCCACCCCCTCAGCACAGCTTGTGCCTTCAGGGGAGCTGTCTCTCTGCTTGCTGCTTTTCCCAGCTCTCTGCAGCCACCTTTCCTGCTCGTTCCTGGTCATTTGTGCTCTTTCCCTGCCTGTCTCTGCAGGCCCTGAGAGAAGGGCTTTATGCCAGGAAGGACTCAAACAATTCCCTGCTAGTTGGAATCAAAGAGGACATCAATGTCCTCCCTGAGCAGAGGGAGGCTCTGCAAGAGCAGGTGAGTGGAACAGCAGCGGCACCGCCGCCACCCAGCAGGTGCTCTGTGCCCTTCTTGCCTTTCCACGGCACAGGGGGTGATCCCTGGTGCCGTGGGGGATCCATGGAAGCTGCTCTGAAGGACACCCAGGGCTCTGCTGGATCTCAGCTGCTGCCCTGGACAGCTGGGTTCTTCACCAGCAACCATCAGCGTGGATTTCTGCTGGCCTCTTGCTGCTAGCCTCGCTTCTGAGGTGCTTCTCCACGCGCCCTTGGTGACCCAACGAGAGCTCAAAACAAGATGTGCATATCCACCGTGAAACCGCTCCTTTCAGCACAGGGACAAGTGGAAAGTTTGGGAATGGAAAGGAATGGAAAGGAATGGAAAGGAATGGAAAAGAAAGGAATGGAAAGGAATGGAAAAGAAAAGAATGGAAAGGAATGGAATGGAAAGGAATGGGAAGGAATGGAAAGGAATGGGAAGGAATGGAAAGGAAAGGAATGGAAAGGAATGGGAAGGAATGGAAAGGAAAGGAAAGGAAAGGAATGGAATGGAATGGAATGGAATGGAATGGAATGGAATGGAATGGAATGGGAAGGAATGGAAAGGAATGGAATGGGAAGGAATGGGAAGGAATGGGAAGGAATGGAAAGGAATGGAAAGGAATGGGAAGGAAAGGAATGGAAAAAAATGGGAAGGAATGGGAAGGAATGGGAAGGAATGGAAAGGAATGGGAAGGAATGGAAAGGAATGGAAAGGAATGGGAAGGAATGGGAAGGAATGGAAAAGAAAGGAATGGAAAGGAATGGAAAAGAAAAGAATGGAAAGGAATGGAATGGAAAGGAAAGGAATGGAAAGGAATGGAAAGGAATGGAAAGGAATGGGAAGGAATGGAAAGGAAAGGAAAGGAATGGAAAGGAAAGGAAAGGAAAGGAAAGGAAAGGAAAGGAAAGGAAAGGAAAGGAAAGGAAAGGAAAGGAAAGGAAAGGAAAGGAAAGGAAAGGGAAGGAATGGAAAGAGGTCCTTTGCCTTTCCTCACAGTGTCTGCTGACAGGGACAGGCTGTAGCCTCTGACTGCTTTGTTCTGTTTGGCTTTAGGTGGGAGAGTTGACAGCAGCCCCCAGAGAGTCACAGGAACTGGTTGTCCACAAAGCTCAGCGAGAGGGGAGTGAGGCCCTAGAGAGGTAAATGAGAGCCTGCGGGACCCTGTGATGAATGGATTCCCTCTTTCTGGTCTTTGCATCTGCCAGCATTTCCGAGGTGGCAGAGTTCTGAACTGTCCATGCAGGCGTGTTCCATCCTCTGGATGTTGTGCCTCATCTCTTTTGAGCCTGCAGTTACAATTTTGCTGAAGACAAAGCTTTTTGGGGTATCCCTGTCCCTCTGAGCGCTGTTCTGTTGTTATGGGCGGTGTCTGAGCCTGCCCAAGCTGCAGTGCAAGGAGCTGGACACATCTGTTGGAGTCTGGAATACAGAGTGTGTGCCCTTGTTTCTGATACTTAGTTCTAAGATCCAGAAAAACACTGGATTTCATATAATATGAAATTCATGAGCATGTTTTCATGGTGATGCATGAAAACAAACGTTGAAGTTGGATAGAAAAAGCTAAAGCGTGTGTAGATTAGAAAGTTTTTTAAATCACTGGGTGAAAAAGCTAGTTTAGAGAACAGGAGACAAGAACATCCATCAGCTCCACCTTGGGTCCGGTGACTGGAACCCTCTGGGAGCTGGATCAGCCTGGCATCCTGATCCCTTTGCTTGGCAGAACATCCCAAACCCAGCACTTCTGATCTGAGCCAGATTCCTCTCTGAGGAACCCCAGGGATACAAATGCCTCTCAGGACCATCTCGTGCCTTGTTCCCCAGCCCAGCTGTAGCTCTGGAAGAGAAGAAACTGAGCCTCAGAAGCCTGGAAGGAAACAGCCTGGCCTGGAGCAAACAAACATCTCAGCTTCGTTCTGCCCTTCAGCGGAGTGAGCAGCTCCTCTCAGACCGTGTAAGAGAACTGCAGGAGCTCAACAGCCAGGTAACCTGTGCGCTGGTGTCCTCCAGGGACACACAGCACCACCTTCAGCCTCACCTGGAGGCCCCAGCTGCTCCCCTCTCCCAGCTGCTGCTGCACCCCGAGGCCAAGGCTGGCTCTGGTGTCTCCTGATGAGGTTCTGCCCTGTTCTCTCCTGCTGGGTCCCAGCAGGAACTCTCAGGAGAAGCAGGACAGACTCCTCTGGAGCTCCTCCATCCCAGTGTTATCCCAGGGAGTGCCAGGGCCGGGCACTGAGCAGTGTGGGGGCTCTGCTGTGGTTATGGCAGGCTGGGGAGGGCTCTCCCAGCACAGCCAGCTCCTCCGGTGCCCCACCAGGGACACCCATCACCTCCTTTTCTTTGTTCTGTCTCCATCGGAACGCTTGGCTTTGCCCCTGCTGTGCCCAGTGTGCGTTTTGAAGCCGTTTCTCCTTTGTTCCTCCTGCCCCTGAGGCTGTGCTTCCCCCTTCCAGATCCGCTCCCTGCAGGAAGCCATGCAGGACAAGGATGCAGCCCAGGCAGCTCGGGAGGAGAAGCTGCTGCAGGAGCTGCAGGAGTCCCGAGCGGGCGAGCGGCGCTTGAGGGACTCGGTGCAGGCGCTGGAGGCTGAGGTCTCAGAGCTGCGCTCGAGGCTCCGTAGCTCCGAGGACAGAGCAGAGGCCTTGGCCACGCAGTGCCAACAGGCCAGCAGTGCCCACTGCCAGGCTCAGAGCCAGCTGGACAAACTGCTCCTGGCTGTCCACCGCGCCATCAGGGACAGCAGCAGCGCGGCCGCGTGGAGCCCAGGCAAGCGCGGCCGGCTGGGTTAGCGCGTGTGGAGCTCGCGTGGGAGAGCGGGCGCGGCGGTTCGGGGTCATCCCGGGATGCTCAGCCTTCCCGTTTAGGCTGACTCCAGCCTGGGGAAGTCTCCACACCCCTGCAGTCACAATCTGTGTGTGCACGGTGAGAAATGGCCAGAGCCGGAAGGGAAAAGTCCTGACAAGCCACGGGGCCTGTGCCGCCGTCCTTGGGGTGTCGGTGGTGACCCAATGAACCTGTGACACACGGGTGTCTTGGTTTGAAAAGAAACCTCTCTTGAAACGCAGAAAATGCAAACCACTCCCTCCTCCTCCTCACAGTTATTAAAATATTGTAATCACAGGGCTCTCAGGCAAAGATACGGGAACAGGAATAACAGTTCTTTACTAGGAAAATCAAAATAAAAATGCAGTGGAACAAAAAAGAAAACCAACAAAAACCAAATCTGACAGAGTCGGAATACAGCCTGACACCCTGTTGGTCAGGGTGTTGGTAACAGTCTGATTAGATGGTGGCTGCAGTCCTCCTGGAGTGACAGCTGTGGTTCTGTTGAAGCAATGATCCTGTAGAAGATTGTAGCTTACCTCTGAAGTTCCGGTGCTGTAGACGGGTCTGGGCTCTCCTCTGGGAATCCAGTGGAGAAAGACTGCCTGTGGTGTTCTGAATCTCTGATTTTATCCATGCAGGAATGCTTGGCTCCGCCCCCTGGGTGGAGCATCTCACAATGGGATGATGTCATTTTATCCGTCCTGCAGTGAGACTCAATGGCCCATCACCAGAAGATTCCCCTGGAGGGAGGATGGGTGGTGGGAGAGATAAAGAAAACTTCCCCAGCAGGTTTTAACATCTGGCCCATTAACAGAAAATATCCCCCAGTTATGAGGTGGAAGAGATAAAGAAAACTGCCCCAGCAAGTTTTAACAACTATCCCATTAACATAAAATATCCCCCAGTTTTGAGGGATGGGTGATGGAATAAATAAAACTGCCCCACGTGGTTTTAACAACTATTCCATTAGCATAAAATATCCCCCAGTTTTGAGGTGAAAGAGATAAAGAAAACTGCCCCAGCAGGTTTTAACAGCTGGCCCATTAACATAAAATATCCCCCAGTTTTGAGGGATGGGTGATGGAAGGGATAAAGAAAACTGCCCCACCAAGTTTTAACAACTATTCTATTAACATAAAATATCCCCCAGTTATGAGGAATGGGTGATGGAAGGGATAAATAAAACTGCCCCACGTGGTTTTAACAACTATTCCATTAACATAAAATATCCCTCAGTTATGAGGTGAAAGAGATAAAGAAAACTGCCCCACGTGGTTTTAACAACTATTCCATTAACATAAAATATCCCAGAGTTTTGAGGGATGGATCATGGAAGAGATAAAGAACACTGCCACACGTGGTTTTAACAACTATCCCATTAACATAAAATATTCCTCAGTTATGAGGTGGGAGAGATAAAGAACACTGCCCCAGCAGGTTTTAACAGCTGGTGATAGAACACAGAATTTTAGTGACATCTTGCATTACAACCCAAGATAACAGGTCCTGCTGCACAGGGGGCTTCTAGGACAGCGACAAAGGTGCTGCCACCTTCTGTAGAA